GACACTATAAAACTCATGGAATACAGGTTCTTACAGTATTAAATAAAGAAGAAAATAAAATCGATCAGATTTGTACTAGGGAATGCGTTATGTTGATATGTATGTAAAGTTAATATTGTTGAATACTGATTTATTAGAGAGATATACGGTTGTAGAAACTTTTATAATTTTTATCGACATTCGGATTATTATAAAACATATTATTAAAAAAAATATATATTTTACTACAATCTTATTAATTTATGCACCATTATTTTAACGAACATTCGGCTCGCATTAGTTTCTGATTTATTCAAGTTTGAATTCATATTTACTGAGCTTATCCGAGATTTCCGAAATTACCGAGATTTCAATAAATATATACATAATTTCAAGACATGCAAGAAATGTCAAATACCGTTAATTTCGACCTTCAGAAGAAATCGCAACGGTCAATGTTACAGGATGACGAGAAGTTGGTCGGGTCAAGCCAAGTGGCCGAACAAGAGATAGCTATCGAGGAGGACAATGCTCCTTTTCAAGGATATCCACTCTCCTCGATAGAGTGGAGAGAGACAACCGGGAATCGAGAATGTTAACGCGTATACGCCTCGTTCGATCGTCGATGGGATTATCTATTTCGAATTAAAATTTTAAGTAAAAGTGTAAAAATTATATAAAAATACCTCTAAGTTTGAAATGATTTATGTTTTAGAAAAAAAAAAAACATATATATATATATATATATATATATATATATATACACAATATACAACAAAATAAATTGGATGCGCGAATTAGCAATATTATGTTAATCAGTTTTATTAAAACAATTACCTCAAGTATATAAGAAAATAAACTTTNGATACAAGAAATAAAAGAAAAAAGTTAAATTTTATTTAAAAAATTTAATGAAGATTAACAAGATGATATATTTTAACAAGAATATTGAATAAAAATAATTGTAGAAGAATATTTATTTGTTTAATACATATTTTATAGTAATTTGCAGAACAGATATTTTTATCGATGTATTGATATCGAGGAAATGTGTTTAGATAAAAAAAAATGAGATACTGGGTAATATGAGAATTATAATATTTTATTTTTGTATATTTATTTTATAATAGTAAAATTTGAAACTTTGGAGATGTTCAACCGTTTGTACTTTAAATGCTATTTAATTAACTTTAAGAATTTTTATATTCTATTTCATAAATACTACCTTAATTGACTATAAAATCGTGCTGAGTTCAAATAAAATTCACACTGTAATTGTTGTTGACAAATAGATTCTTTTCACATAGCAATTGCATCCTTTAGCGGTGCAAATTGTATCGCTGCAAGGGTGTGAATAGCGATTGATTCTGCTCGTTGCAAAAAGTACTTTACTCTTGAGCTTGATAGGGTTAAGTTCAATTGGGGGTTGTTTCAAGCGAAATGAATCAATATATTGAGTTTTGTAGGTGGTACAAATTAGTACAAATTCAATACTTTGTATTTCTATTTTTGTTTTCTTTTTGTCAATGATAATAACCTTACATGCATGTTGTTACTACTATAAAATATATTTAGCACTGAAGATAACTATAATTTCCTACCAGTGCAGTAAGATCGTATCATTCACATATCGTATGTCTATCTTTGATACTTATACCTTCATCAATCAATGCTTGGATGAAAATAGTTTCAGCATATATATTTAAAATCGTAGAAATAAAATTGTTAATATAAAATTGTTAAATATATTGAATAGAAAAGGAGAAAATAACATTCCTGTCAAATGCTGCGCCATATCTCCATTCATTATATGTCAATGTATTCTACTATGAACTAGACATATCTATGAATTGAAGTCACCAAGCGATGTGGCAGCAGAAGACACAACGTCGAGGACTATCACCGAGGAAGCCAGTGCTCGATCCTATGCTGTGACGGCTTTTATGGTTTTACCGAGTTTTACAATTTATCTATTTTTTTTTATTGTACAGTGATGAGAAAGCACCTATTAAATTATAAGATATTAACATATGTTACACATATTATATGAAATATAAAAAATATTTCAAGGAAATATGAAAATAAGCCAATAAGAGTCGACATCGTTGTTGGTGCGAATAAATTATTTTATATAGGAGAATAAATATGTTTGACAGTGTCGACATACACACATACACAAACATTTAATATAATAAATTTATATTTATTTAGCAGTTCTCGGGAAAAGCATAATATTTTTCAATTCAAAAAATTTAAAAATCTCGTTTGAAATGTGAACGCAAAGCATATATATATTTTTGCGTTGAAAAAATGACTTGAACGTTAAAAGTAAAAAGCCGTTTGGAGTAACGAAGAATTTAAGAAAAATATAGAATCCTGTAGGTAACCCCCCTTATGTTATCAAAATATTTAAATAGAAATTAAAGGGTAGGACAAGTAGATCCTTCGACTTGTGTTACCACCGTTTTGATCTGCACAGTCGCTATATTTCATTAAGTAGCAGCGTGCATGTTTCTATATAAAAGGGACACGACGCTGTGATATTTTTTACACATTCGTGTAACATACGACATTAAGAATGCTTCTGTATCTGTTCAAAGACATACATAATGCAAATTTGGCTAAGTTTGTGTAAATAAATAAACGAGAAGACAATATATGTTTGAATGTTTCACGGTGGACCACCGTCCGTCGTAATATTAGTCTCCTCGGTGATGGTCCTCGCCGCTGCGTTCTCTGTTGCGTGCGTTATTTAGTGACTACTTCAACTCATAGATATATCCAATTCATAGCATGATTAAAAGCATGAATCTCCTGACTAAATTATTTATTCTAAAACGAAACTGCATTAGAATTATTTGTTCCTCTCAAAAAGACCTACAATTAAAAAAAAGCAAAGTCGATTGAATAATATCCAAATTTTGATGTTTAAACCCAATTTTGCAACAAAACGGCAGCCCATTTACACCTAGCATTCTAAGGTTTTAATATATTCGCCGACTCTACATTTTAAGCCTACTCTCATTCAAAAAGCGCATCTCCTTTTTTGATCCTTTCCTTATAAGTATGCGTTTAATATAGTGTTAGGCTTCCTTGATACCTCTGTATGTCGTCGAATCCTAAACGCTGATCCAAAGCATGTACAATAAAATGCTTTCGAGTTATGGATATATAGAAGGATACTGAGAATATCATGAAGCATGTAGTCATGAACACTATTGTGAAAAGCAAATTCAAATATTTTGGTCACGTCATGTGAAATAATAAATACCAACTATTGTCATCATACAAGGGAAGATATAATGTAAAAGACGCCTTCTGGCAGAAGGCGAACATTCTGGCTCAATAACTTGAAAGAGTGGAAAAATATCAAATAATCAAATAAATATCAAATAATAATCGATAAAAAGTACGAATAGCTCTAATGACATCCAATATTTGATAGAAGAGGCATAATAATAAGAAAAGCAATTTTATGTATTCATTTGTTCATAGAGTTTTAGAAAAGTACCGATAACTTTTAAAAATTTATACTTTAACTCTATAATGAACTCGGAGTGTATAACGTATGTAACGTAATAAATGAATATTACTCATATTCGTTTAGGGCATTGGTTATGAAGAATTTTCGAAGTGCAATATAAGCGATAGACCCTTAAAATCTTTAAAAGTATCTGCACAATTGTGAGATTCTATATTTATTCTATATTTATCGTTAATAAGTTATCAAGTATTATCAATAGATACGCAGACGAGAGTGGCAAAGGCGAGATCAAGCCTGTGTTTTAATTAGCAAATATTCATTATACGAACAGGTTTTAGAATACAAAAATGTCAAAATTCAAATATTTTCCAAATTTTACATAAAAATCTGATATTTAAAATGCAAAAATGAAAGAACATGGTTTAAAATACTACAAATCTAATAAAAAAGGAGAGGAGAACAAAATCGCGAAAAACAAAGAAATTTAACAATTGAACTTTACATATATTAAAGTTGCAACTTCGTTTTATTATTATTTTGGATTTTGTATTTTTTTAATTAAACAATTAGAAAATTCTTTTACTTATACTGAACAATATAAAAGAGATATGGAGTGTAGAATTAAATATTATTATAGAATTATTAAAGTAGAGAAGAATTTCTAAAGTAAAAAGAACAATAGGAAATTTATAATGTTCTGACGTTAAACATTTTAAATATTGTTATTTTTAACATTCTTTTTTAATTAAGACAAACATTGTACATTGTTAAGAGAAAAAATCTGTAAACGATTCTTTTAACTAAATTTAACTATTAAAAAATTTTATATTTTGAACAGTCATCTCCTAATTTATATTCAAAAGATATGAAAGCAAGTATAAAAGAGAAATGTACACGTTAATAATGTTGACTTAAATTAGAGTTTCTGTATTTGAAGTTCTTATTGAATTTCTCGAAAACGAAAACAACAAATGAGATGACTTAAAATTAGTTCCGAGTTAACAAGTTTTCAAGCTAAGTAAGTTTACAACATTGCGCTTATTACATGTGTGGAAATGTAAACGCTCATCCAATACTCTTACAATTCAGAAATAAGAAAATTGGACCAGCCTGATGGAAATATTATATTAAAAATTTGACTTTTTCTATATACGCCATTTTCAGTCAAATTCAACAATATACCCGGGGATCATGTATGAAATTTGCCCATATACTAACTATATACAATCATATATGTCAACGAAAAAATACTATTGTTTACAAATTATATACAAATATAATCTAAATGTGCTGGCTATTTGTGCTTCTGATAGCACATGGTACCGGCAAAATAAATACCGAAAAAAAAAAAACAACGAAAAACTTTATTTTTCTAACTACGTTTAGCCTTGGATGAATCCAAGTATGCGTATTTACGAAGTATTTATATATGATATTAAATCTTTCAAGAGAAATTTTAATGATAATACTATTTGATATTTAAAACTATAATTACAATTACCCAATATTTACTGAAGATTTCATGAAGAATACTCACCTATTTTACCGTTGGGACTGTACGGATCGTAACTACTAGTGCTCATGGGACTCGCGTATCCATTATTGCTGACTTGCTGTTGCTGATGTGCGAGTGGACTGGAGTGCGCTATGGGAGGTTGTTGTTGCTCCGACAATTGTTGTTGTGTGTAGACTACGTGTTGATTTTGCAGAGAATTTGACGGCGATCCGGGACTATTTGTCGCCAGCCAATCATCCGATCTAGTTGTTTTATTATTGTTGGCAATGGTGGCAAAAATGCCACTTCCGGTGCTGATCGATCCAGTGGATACTGTGGCTACCGTCGCCGGCGACGTTGATGTCCCTGCCAGATGATCCGGCCTCTCAACCTTGACCAGTGTCAAGGATGCGGCACTGGCAACGACAGATGCCATCGCATTAACGCCAGTGACGGTGGAACCACCGTTAGCGGTGTCCATATTCGAATCGCCATTAGTATCCATACTGGACGTTGTCGTTGTTATCGTCGTCGCTATTGTCGTAATTGATGGATCTACCGTTTCTCTTAGCCTGGTTGGGGCTGCCAGGACGACACCCTCTGTGATAACAACTTCCGATCTATCATTGTATCGTAAAGTTATGTTGCCACTTCCTGAACTGGCCACCGACAGCTACTTATCTAGCGTTTTTAGCCGCTTTCGTTTGTTCTTGTTTCCAACGCAGTGGCCACGTCTTCCTATTGTCGCATAGTTCTAGGTCTCTTCGGTTACTTTATCTTTTCGGCGCTTCTTATTGACGAGAAATGCTTCTCGATAAATACCTCGCAAAGCTTAATTCGCCCAGTTTCCCCGGAAGCTTAATGTTCCCAGTTAAAAATTTAAAGAGATACTAAAAGTTTGGATCAATATATTGATCAGTGAAAAATTCTCGAAACGAAAAATTAACAGTTTGAAATTATAACATTAAATTTATCAAATGATTTAATCAAATGATTTAAGATTGTGGTAAGGTAATCATAGTTTCCATCGTATCTTGACATGTATAAATGTTTGCTGCAACTTCATAGTTGAAATTGTTGCGTTGCTGCTTCGAAGTATCTGCAACACAAAAATGTTTTCATTTTATATCATCGTGCACATATTCCATAATTATAATTATAATTAGTTATAATTTACGAATTCCTAAATTCTAATTTTAATTAAATTCCTAAATTATAATTATAATTAAATTATAATTATAATTAAATTTCTAGAATATTTTTTTTTTAATAACAGATGTCATGGGATTATTCTTAAATACTTGATATAAACTTGAATTTTTGAAAACTTCGTTTTTTTCTAGATTCTGATAAATACAAATGAATACTGATAAACATAACTTTTATTACATGTAATATTTCTAATAGTTCCTGTATATTTTTATTACTCATATTATAGAATTTCTCCTATATATCCTCAAAAGAATATGNTATATCCTCAAAAGAATATGTAGCACAGAGCTAACTACTTGCTTAACTGCATAATTGTTCATTTTATAAAATAAATATAAGTAAAATTAATGACATACATATACACACGCGCGCGGACGTTCGTATATTATTAATATAGGAATATGAAAATCAATACAAGATGCTGCACTTAACAGTTATACAATCTAATATCGCGAGGATCACTTGATAAAATTAAATGATTTACAGTACTTTACAAAATATCCAGGGAAAATGATAATATATAATTATATAAAATTATATATAATTATATTTAATCATTTGTAATTTATATATAAATTTTGCCTCTATATAATTATATATGTCCACACGAAATAAAAATAAAAAATTGAATGAAAAGCAGGAGAAATATTTTGATTAAATTAAGTGTTCAGGGAAAAAAAGATCATATATGAAATTTGCCCATATATGACTATATATAANATTATCGATCTGGTCGTCCGTTTTTCATTCCTCCCCTCTTGTCTATCCTATCCGCAACAGGATTCAGTGCGGAGGAGGAGTCTAACCTTCAACGTTAACCCTGACCCACCCTATTGGTCGACATGATAATCTATTCCCTCTATTAAACACCAATATTTAATCACAATCTTTATATATTATTTAAATTGTGAACATTTGTTAACAATTTATCATTAATAGCAATATCAAAAATATGATTTCGTAAAAAAAATCGAAATTATCTACTTTCACTCTTCCTCCATGAGATTTTCAAAACACAATTATGACATATTTAAAAGATTCTTTTTTTATTTAGAAATTCACCATCTAAAAATCGTGTAATTTGATCTACTTGTTTACGAGATATTAATCTTAATATTTCGTTTGGTTCACTTTGTACGAAACTTTAGTTCATTTTGTACAAAACTTTAGTTATATTTTTAATAATTGACGCGATGTAGCAACATTATTGGTAAAGAAGATTTTTAATTTTTGCATAAAAATACTACTAAGTCCATTTAATACAATGTTAACAATGAAAATATGTTGTCAATTAAAATATGATAATCGAAGAAATGCACTGTGTTATATAGTTTTGTATCATAATCATAAAATCACAAATAACTATTTTTTATATTTTTTTAATCTGAACATTTTTAGTAATTTCTAAGGAAATAAGGATGAATCAAGGATAAAAAAGATAATCTAAAGATTGAGTATAAGTCAAAAGGAAAAGAAAAGGTGTAGAGAAAGAAGAAAGTAAATAACAGAAGATCGAAAAAAGGAACAAAACAGGAGAGAGAGAAAATACGACGATCACACAGGAGAGAGGGAAAGAAAAGAGAAAAACAAAAAGAGGAAATGTAGAAACAAGGACGACGAAGAGTAACGATAGTGTTATGCTATATTATGTTGTGTCGGGAAGGAAGGAAAAACACCGAAAAAAAATAGATAAAAAAGCAGTGTAAGGAATATGAAAAATGAGATGTAAATCAAATAGATATAATCAAGATAGCATATTGTGTCTCATTGAATGCCGTTTCAAGAATGGTGAATTATGTGGAGAATATTCGCAAACCATCTAGTTCGCTAGTTGCATTATCGATCTGGTCGTCCGTTTTTCATTCCTCCCCTCTTGTCTATCCTATCCGCAACAGGATTCAGTGCGGAGGAGGAGTCTAACCTTCAACGTTAACCCTGACCCACCCTATTGGTCGACATGATAATCTATTCCCTCTATTAAACACCAATATTTAATCACAATCTTTATATATTATTTAAATTGTGAACATTTGTTAACAATTTATCATTAATAGCAATATCACAATCAATATCACATGTAATTTATCGCAATCAATATCACATGTATCTAAGATACATAATCTAAGATATAAATCTACAAAACACAAGAATATTTAATTATAATCTTTATATGTCGCTTCTCAATTGTCATTGGTAACATTAATTAATACCACAAATCATTTAAAATGAAAATCAAGAATCGTAAACTAACAAAGCAAAATTTCTAAAATATTTAACCCTTAGCTGACACACGGGGTTAAAAGTACAACCAGAGTGTTTTTGAACGCAAATTTTTCATAGCTGCGCGCCAAATTTGGTCCTGTGGCGTCACCTAGTATTAGTCGAGGCTTGACCCAATATTGATAAATAAAATAATTATACACATTTTTTCTCGCTGGGGTCCAAAATACCGCCCATAGCACGTACGTTATTATTTTGACGTGTGTCAGCTAGGGGTTAAATTAATTCATACGTATCATAGAAAAAAAGCCATAAATATGTAAGTGGTAAATTCAAAACATGCAGTTCAATTTTTTCCGAAAAATTAAAATAAATATTTAATCGTAGAGATATTTAGTGAAGTAAATCTATTTTTAGTAAAAATTTTAATAAATACTTTTAGTAAATAAGTTTTAAGAACATAGAAGGATAAAAAAAGTATGTTACCCCCCATCTAATTTCAGTCGAATTTTTAACAGAGTTCGAAACTTTTACAAAAAATGTAATTTAAGAAAATTTGAGAATTACTAAAATACTTGATACTAAACATTATTTTATTTTCAGTTCAGATTAAAAAAATATAAAAAATAGTTATTTGTGATTTTATGATTATGATACAAAACTATATAACACAGTGCATTTCTTCGATTATCATATTTTAATTGACAGCATATTTTCATTGTTAAAATTGTATTAAATAGACTTAGTAGTACTTTTATGCAAAAGTTAAAAATCTTTTTTATTTTGTAAAGTATGTAACAATTTAAGAATTAATGAAATCAAAACATTTGGAATAAAAAATATACTTGTTATAAATTACCATTTTTTTTTAATACTTGGATGAAAAAGGACAAACACTTTAATATATCTATAAATCCATAGATCTTATAACATATTCCACGTATTCTACAGAAAATCAATTGTCTACCATTAAAATTGTAAGAGATATAAAAGGATATAATGAATGTTGGAGACATTTAGGTCAAAATGCTTGCCCCTGCTCCAGTGTTAGTATACTTATTGCAAATCCACTTCTCCATCTCGCCATATCCAAGTTCCAGAACGAGTCGAGTCAACGCGCGTCGTGCTGAGGCAACCCGAATCAAGCCGAACAAGACCGAATCAAGCCGGATCGAGCCGAACTGAGCCGAGCAAAGCTGAGCCGAGTCAGGTCGAGCCCAGCTGACGAATCAAACCATTTCTGTTTTCGGCCCTCGTCTATCGACGAGAGAGTTACTCTGAGTAGGAATTCTCACAAAATATCCTAGGATTATTATGCATCCTCTATACATTTATTCATACGTCTAAAGAAAGTTACAACAACGAACAAACACAATATTTCAGAAATATCCCGTATATCTATATCGATAGTCCTTTTCTCTCATACCCTTTCTTTGTATCTAGGCCATCGGATCGATCCTGCTGTGGCGGTACAGACTCCTTTACTACTGTTGTCGCTGTTGCCACCACCACCATCATCACTATTACCATTATCACTAACATCACTAACTGACTGCAGTCATCATCATTTCTACTAGTATTACGTTATCTTTCCTACCATTACTATCAGAACTTGTCATGAGACTAGTTAAGTACCTTGATTTAGTTACGAAGGTACAAAGTAAATGTATTCTCTTCTTTTACGCGAAACAGTCTTCCGAATTTTAAATCAAATGAAAATGAAAATGCCTCATTGTTATTTATAACATAAATAAAAAATTCTATAAAACATAAACGAGATTTAACACGCGCAACGATTCTGCTTACATTGAACTTTCCAAAAGAAAAACTTTACGTCTTATAAAAATTTGCTTTAAAGAGAGATTCAATTCTAGAATGTCAAACAATTTCTAAGGTTTAATAATTTACTTGTATGCACAAAAGTTTACGTTTTTTTCTATACAAAAGAAAATTGAAATTCCAATTACAAACATATACAATGCTTTTTTAAATAGATTATAAAAACGAACTGTATGAAAATAAGTTGGAAAATAACGCACAATGCTGAATATTTAAAAAACGAAATGACATAAATATGCTTTAAATAACAGCTAAATACACAATAATAAACGTTCTTTAGACAACAATAAAATGTGTATCAATAATCTCTTGAAATTTACATTAATTGTGTGTGTGTGTGTGTGTGTGTGTGTGTGTGTGTGTGTGTGTGTGTGTGTGTGTGTGTGTGTGTGTGTGTGTGTGTGTGTGTGTGTGTGTGTGTGTGTGTGTGTGTGTGTGTGTGTGTGTGTGTGTGTGTGTGTGTGTGTGTGTGTGTGTGTGTGTGTGTGTGTGTGTGTGTGTGTGTGTGTGTGTGTGTGTGTGTGTGTGTGTGTGTGTGTGTGTGTGTGTGTGTGTGTGTGTGTGTGTGTGTGTGTGTGTGTGTGTGTGTGTGTGTGTGTGTGTGTGTGTGTGTGTGTGTGTGTGTGTGTGTGTGTGTGTGTGTGTGTGTGTGTGTGTGTGTGTGTGTGTGTGTGTGTGTGTGTGTGTGTGTGTGTGTGTGTGTGTGTGTGTGTGTGTGTGTGTGTGTGTGTGTGTGTGTGTGTGTGTGTGTGTGTGTGTGTGTGTGTGTGTGTGTGTGTGTGTGTGTGTGTGTGTGTGTGTGTGTGTGTGTGTGTGTGTGTGTGTGTG